ATGTGCTCGGTGCTTTCCTCCATTTTCTCTACATCCAAACACAGCCACCACTACCAAGTCCAATCACTACACTAGTTCACCAACATAAACTAAATTAAGTAAATGCACCTAGTGCTACCATTTCGCTTCGACAGTTCGAAATCCTCGCCCTAAAACTACAGAGCAACTCGAGATGAAAATTAAAAAATGTATATATTTTCTTGCTCTCTCGTGGCAAATGGCGACTGACGTAAACAACAACAAAAAATAGAAATCTAAAATACAAAGAAAAAAGAAACGCACGTTACGATAGACATAACATAGACATATAACGAAAGAAGATGATTACTTCCTAGCAATTTTTCTAGGATCCTTCTCTTGCCGGGAAGTATGATCATCGCGACCTGACCGTATTTCCTCATTATTGCCCACACAGACGGGTAAAGATGAAGATTGAGGTTCGACGATCAGCGAACTCGAACGCGTTTCCGAGCCGTCTTCGGTGGAAGGATCAGCTCCGGCGCCGGATTCTCCGTAGGGCATGGTGATTCCAGCGGCGGTAACCGAGAGAGTAGAGACCGTGCTGGACAAGTTATTCTCGGGCTTTTTGAAACTAAAAGGAAGCAGTACGTCGAGAGTGGAAGAGCAAGAACAGGAATATAGCAGAGAAATTGGGCCCCTGATATCGCGTATTTATTCGCCTTCTCAGCAAAGCATAAATGAGGTCAACCAAACAAGTCAACAAAACCCGACCTTTTTTCTCCTGGAAATAAATCCGATTTATTGCAATAATATTAAAATCTAAAGCTCACAACTAAGTAATTAAATAGTTGGTGTAATTAAGGCAACAAAATACTTACACATAATTATGCTTAATTAAGTCGTAAACACAAAAATTTCTTAGGCCGTACTCTAAGTTGTTCGATAATAGTAATATTAAGATTTTCGATTCTTTATTTTATGTTTAGTCGGTTCTTTTTTTTACGGAAAAATCGATATAATTTAGTAGTAAAACATCATTTCAATTCGATTTTTTATCACGATGAACGCTAGTGTCATGTTTAACACATGAAAGCCTGATTGAAAATAGTATTTTCAGTAATAAACGAGTGAGTAACGAGTCTAAACTATTAAGATTATTATATAATTATAACTTCAATTTTAATCAAACCGTCGTATATATATTGAATATATGTATATATTTTTTAAATAAATATAATAGTAAAATATTTAAATGTATAAAAAATACACTTACATAAAAAGTAAAAAGTCATAGTATGTATGGATAAATATAAAAAATACTAAAAATTTTTGTAGAATTAACTTATTCGTTAAACTTTAAAAGCTAATACTCTCTAGGTTCATTTGATCATAATTTTGGTCTAACATATTCATTGCAAAATAAAAAAAGTATAATCCGATTGCTCTTTATTATTTAATAACTTTAATTATTTTATATATTTTTATATTAAATATTATACAAAAAAAATATTAAAAATGTTCAACTAATAAGATTTGATATTAATTTTTTAAAATTTTATATTGATAAATTTTATTAATAATTGTAAGTTTCGAGTCTGATTGTGTTTTTGTATGTCTTATTTTATAATTGTACTGTAGATATCGTATTATATTTATTGTTACATATTATTTAATTAATAGACATATAAATTTTTTATTAAAAAATTAAAAATTAGTAAAAAAATAAATAATCAAATTATACTAAATTTATAAATAAAAAAAATATTTTATAACAATTAAATTTAATTAATTATGATAGTTATAATGAGTTAAAAATTCGATTTAATATTCTATTAAAAAAAATATTGATATTTTTAGTTAAATTTAAAAGTCACGTAAATAAATAAAATATAAAATAATTTATAAAATATTAATATTATCTTTAAATTTAGAAGTATAAATTTTTGTACCTTATAATAAATTTTAAGAGTGAATACATTTTAAAAAATAATTTCATAAAATTTATAGACTACGAAGATTTAATATAATTTATATATTGTATAATAAATTTCAAAAGTAAATATATATTTTTAAAAAATAATTTGTTGGGAATGTAGGATTAAATTTACTTTTTCAATATCTATTTATGTATATATATTTTATAATAAAAAATACATATTTTTGTGGTCATTATCTAATAATCTTTGATATATAAAATTATAAATATAAAAAACTAAATAATATCAATAATTCAAATCGCTAATTATTATTATGGAAAATCAATTATTCTTTTCACCATTATTATTATTATTTTTTTAATATTGCGAGATAAAAAAACAAACAGTTAATGCGCAAGTGGGAAGCAAGCCGACGAGAATGGCGACGTTACGCGCCATGAACATGCATAACCCCATCGTCTCTCCGCCAATCTCCACCACCAATGGCACCACCTTGAAGCCCACTGTTGTCTTCACCACCCCACCGAGCTATGCAGACAGGTTTTCTCATCTACTTACCCTTAAGGGCCACAATCCCCTCTGGTGTCCCACCATCGTCACCGAATCCAATCCACGTACACTCTCCGCTCTCAAACTCCATCTTTCCCCACAATCCGTTTCTCAGCTCTCCGCCGTCGCCTTCCCTTCTCGCACTGCCATCGCGGCTTTTTCAGCCGCCGTTTCCGACCTCGACAAACCCCTGTTGCCCCCAGACGGTGGTAGTTTCATCGTTTCCGCTTTGGGCAGAGACGCGGAGTTAATAGACCAAGCTTTCATGAACCAGTTATGTTTGAATATCGACAGAATTAAGTTGTCCGTCCCCCGGATTGCAACCCCGAGCGGGCTGGTTCAGTCCATGGGTAGAGGATGCGGACGGAAGGTGCTCTGCCCTGTCCCGTTCGTGGTGGGACTTGAGGAGCCGCCTGTCGTCCCGAATTTTCTTCAGGAGCTGGAGGTTTCCGGGTGGGTTCCCATCAGAGTGGACGCGTACGAGACGAGGTGGGTCGGATCCAGAAGTGCAGAGGGAATGATAAGGAAGAGTAAGGTGGGTGGAGTCGATGCGGTTGTGTTTACGAGCAGCGGGGAGGTGGAAGGGCTGCTCAAGAGTTTGCGGAGTTTGGGTTGGGATTGGGGGATGGTGAGGAGAAGATGGCCGAGTTTGGTTGTGGCGGCACATGGTCCGGTCACTGCTGCCGGGGCGGAGAAATTGGGTGTTGATGTAGATGTCGTGAGCTCCAAGTTCAGTAGCTTTGAAGGTGTTGTTAATGCGATTGATTCAAGATTACGAGGCTTGGACTGAAACTGTTCGTGAAATTGCTTCAAAGAAAGTTTTAGTATATATCTTTAATCTGTCGTATCTAGTGGCTATGGAGAAGCTGGAAGTTCTTGTTCTTCATATGCAGATATTTTAAGCAAATTGGAAGTCGCTATATACCTGCTGAGAGGAGAAATAGCCATGAATGTTGCAGACTGGCAGGAAGAGCTAGACTGAGCAGTAAAAGTAAAATCTTTTCTTCTTGTTTTGGTTAAGAATGCATTGAATGCATATATTCGGTTGATAAATTGTTATTTACTTACTATCATATCGTATCCCTTAATTATCAGACTTATATTGGTAAATAAAATTTTAATTGTAATTTTTAAACCAATTTTAATATTGTCTTGATTATTTTTTTGGTTAAAGATAGGACTAAGACTTAGTCAGCCTTGGCCAAGAAGAACTGTAGACTAAGACTGATCTTGAATTCTTTGAAGATGGTATTTGGTAAGAAAATAAATGATCATGTACTTGCAAAAATATTTGAATGACAAACTTTAGCTATCCATAGTGTTTTCAAACCTGGTAAGTATGGAGGATTTGGTATCTAGGTTGATTAGTGAGGAACTCTTCTTGTTGTTTCTACCAACCCTTATTGCTTTATATATGTAATATATTGGATAAGTAAAATTTTAACTTTGTCCCTGGTAGAAAGGAGTGTGTACCGTATTGATGCAGGGACTAGATGTAATTGTTTTGCATATGGCTTTACCATATGATAACCATGCATATCTGAGTAGGTAAGGTGGAATTTTCAATGGATGAATTTTGTTAGGCTAATACTTCTTTTGTAAGATAGAAACCTTTTCAGTTTTGTCTTGATCAGATGGTAAAGTATCAAAAAAGAAGCATCTGGGCCCTCCGAATACCTAATATCACTAACTGAGTGAAAGGAATAAATGCATATTCATAAATGGAAATTCTTCCTTGAGACAAGTTTGAAAATAATGCTCCATTACGCGGTCCAGTTATGGATATACTACCAGGAAAAGAAAAAGAAAAGTGGCTTAAAGAGAAAGAAAGAAGGTTAAAACTTTTTAAATTGTTTTAATACATTGAGTAAATGCTGTTATATTCAACGAGATTTCCGCATAAAATTATTAAGAAACTTCATCTTCTGCATAAATTCGAGCTGTATCGAGTAATTAAATTCTCAAAACTTAATATTACTTTTTTTTCTAATCGTTGAATGCTTGAGAATATGAACAAAATTGACACCTCTGTGAAGGAAAGTAATTCTCCCTTCTTCGCCAAGAAAGAAGCATATTTTTTTAGTCACTTGGAATCAACCTATATGGCTAATTCAAGTGCAGTTTCTCATGCTTCAGAATTTGGCTCGCAGATCTAGTGATATAACCTACGGTAGAGGTAACTGATGAGGTATGGCAGACTGAAAGGATTGGCTGGTTGGGAAAATTTTTGATTAAAAACTGTCCTACTGACATTGTAGAATGGCAATATGGATTTCTAGATGTTATTGCCATATAGAACGACCGATCTGTTTCATCTTTTCATTTTCTAGGAAATCATAGGAATAAACTCGCATGAATTTCAACTTGCAGCTCCACGTAAGGATAAAGGTGCCTGAAACACTATGTATTCTATTAGTTGTGAAATATGCATATGGAAATCTAACAGAGAAAAATGCCATAAATATTATTGTATCAAAATATACAAACAATAGTCAAGTCATTTACATTGTCTTAACCATCCAAATTAGTTCTAAACATTATATGCATAAAAGGCTGTTTACCATTGATTCTCCCACCAGATTTTTTTTTTGAAGTTTTCCTATTGGAATTCCTTTATAAAAGTGTGCTTTGAAATAGATAACCTACTAAAAGGATTCTTGTGATTCCTTCTAATGGCAGGGACGTTCAAAGTATGAAAATTGTGATGCATTTAGATAAGAAACACTAACACCTTGTTTAGTACAGCGGAGATTTTCAACTCCCATTTTTCTGTATTCAAACATGCATGCGCACATATGTAGCTGTTGAAAATAGAAACAAATTTGAGAAATAAAATTTAGAAAATAAAAATTGGAAACATTTTCACTGATTAGACAAGGCTCGGAAGTGGTTAAGCAGAGAGAGAAATCATAAGCACCCTCTGAAATCGACCTGCGTGTCTAGATCTACTGCTTTGAAGAACATTGTAAATGTTGCCATAAGGGTAAATTTTTCAGACTATGATGATATTGTGGAGTAGGATTTGGCCAAATTGACGGTGACTTCAATAATGAATATGAAAATATGAGCTGGATTGTATTAAATGAGTAGGACATACTGTTTATCTTGTAGGAAACAACTGAGAAAACCCCGGTTAATTTTCTATATCATAAGGTGCTTTAAGAAAACCAAGAAACCTATCAGCCACTATTTCACAGCCAAACAATTTTTAGTTACAAACGCATCCCGTTGTATACATATATTAACGATGATACAAACAAACAGCTTTCATCTGCTACCTGCTTGTTACATGTATGAATGTTTCTAATTTGGTAATTTGAAATTTTTTGTACATAAAATTTCAAGGATAATTCCACTTTCTTTGTGATTTTGGCCCTGATAAAAGCTTCAATACATCCTCCATGGAAGGCCGATCAGATGACCTATTTCTGGTGCAGAGCAGAGCAACCTCAAGAACCGTCATGATTTCTTCTTGCAACAAAGCTGTGGAACCAACTTCGTCGTCACTATAAATTTCTCTAAGAAGGGCATCCCTTGGCATGTTCTGTACAATTCCTCCCGCATCCGTTAGCCTACCATTTGTCAAGATTTCAAGAACAATCTCTCCAAAGTTATAGATGTCCATGTTCAGCTCCTCTCTAATGAAATTGTTGATCTCTCCTATTAAAAAATGTCAGGAAGAAAAGCCATTTTAGAATTGATCCTGTTCAAGCAAAAGCACAAATGAAGAGCATAAACTGACTTAGAAAGAAATGATCTTTCCTAGCAATGGATGTCTATCATTTGCTGTCTAGGGAAAGTAGAGATCTTTCAACTTTCTGTTTTAGAAGTCTTATTCTGCTAATTTCGTTTGGAGGGAGTGATTCAATGGAATATTAAATTTAGATTTTCTGTGTACTAAGAAAGCTAAAACTTTCAAGGTTGCATTTTTGTGTTTCTTTTTTTTTTCCAGGCCTATAAGATGTTCTGACAGTCTTTCAACTATACTTCCCTAAACTTTTCTCTGCCTAAAGTTTTAAGCTTTTTGTTTGAAAAATGAAACTTCAAGGACAGAATTTACAGAACATCCTTTTTTGTTGTACTAAAAATAGTAACAGAGTCAAGAATACCTGTTTCCTTTCCAGAAATTGTAGCAGGAGCTGCACCTTTACTCAACTTCGTCAGATACTTCAACCCAAATTCGGCTAAATGCGGTTCCATATTCTCATCAAACACTACATTACATGATTTCAGGTCTCCATGAGGGATTGCAGGATAGCAGTCATGGTGAAGGAAGCTAAGTCCCTTGGCAACTCCAATGACAAGTTTGTACTTAGATGACCAGTCCCTCTTCATTCTGATATTCTCTGATAAATTTCCATTAGGTAAGTAATCATACAACAGATAAGCCAGATTCCTGTTGTAGCAAAACCCCAGCAATCTACTCAAGTTCTTGTGGCGTGTACTGCCCATTCTCGTCACATATTCTGAAACAATCCTGATTCTTTTTGCTTCCCATTCAATTTTTTTCACCAAAACTGTTATTCCAGTGGGCAGAACTGCTTTGCAATCTGAAGATGATAGTGCAGGCACTGCTTCTGTTGAATTTGTAGAATTAAAGCTCCTTAAAACATCATTTGCTGTAAATTGAGGGAGACCAAGAAAAGAGACCATTGTCCATTGGCCTTTACTTCCTCTTCTAAGATAAAGTATCCCCAGAATTGATGCTACAATGAACACAGCTATCACTACACATAGTACCAGAATAAAGGTAAGCTTCTTTGTGCCTTTGCTTCCCAATATTCCCATTGAAGAAGAACATGGTTTTAGAGGAGCTCCACACAACTTTGTATTCCCAACATAAGCACTGCTACCCATCGCACGAAACACCTTTTCTTTTGGAATGGAACCAGAGATATCATTGAAAGACACATTTAGAAGTATCAATGCTGAAGAACTGCCAAACTTTGCTGGTATTGGACCACTGAGATTATTGTGTGATAAGTCTAATACACTTAAAGCAGGAAGAATGGTAAGCTGATCGGGTATATGACCAATTAACTTGTTTCGAGCTAAATCCATCCTCTCAAGAGCCTGGCAATTTGAAACACTTTCAGGTAAAGTCCCTGATAAACTATTGCTGTGCAGCTCAATAACTGAAAGTGATTTGCAGGATTTGAATGGGGGAAGATTGCCAGAGATGCTACAAGAAGATGCTGAAAAGTTATGAAGAAGTGGCAGAGACCATGTCTGTGCAGGGAGTGTGCCTCCAAGCCCTGGATTGTTCGAGACATTAAAGTACTGAAATTTTGAAGCTTTGGATATGTCTTCAGGAATCCCGCCTGTAAACTTGTTTCTTGACAGGTCCATGTATGTGATATCAGGAAGTTGGCTAAATTTCCAAGGGATTTCCCCGGAGAATGAATTGTCTTCTAGTCGAAGCCGAACAAGAGATGAACAATTGGATAGAGAAGGAGAAAGACTGCCTGTAAAATTGTTGGAAAACAAAATCAACTTGAACAGCACACCTCCTACACAAATATCAGGTGGAATGCTGCCAACGAAATTGTTAGTAGAGACATCAACCCATCTGAGTTTTGAGTTCCTCCCCAAGTTCTTTGGGAGTGACCCAGAGAAGAAATTATTCCATATGAAAAGAGTGTCTAGTGATGGAAGCTGTGCAATGCTTTCAGGCACTGTGCCACTCATTTGATTGTACATAAGATTCAGCAGCCTAAGATTCTTCAACTCAGAAAAACTCTCTGGTATGGGACCTGAAATTTGATTATCAGACAGATCCAAGTTTGTGAGTGTCAGGATTCTGCCAAATTCCCATGGAATAAATCCAGTGAGCTTGTTGCTGAAGAGAAATAGTGATTCAAGCTTAGTGAGATTGCTGAGGTATTTGGGTATTGGGCCGGAGAGATTGGCATCAGCTATATCAAGATATCTCAGCTCACTCATGTTACCCAACTGCCATGGGATACTCCCTTCATAAGAATTATAGCCAATCTCCATATGGGTCACCGTCCTGAGCCTACCAAGCTCTGGAGGTACTTTTCCAGTCAGAAAATTTCCAGCCAAGTGAATGAATTCAAGGCTTTTGAAAGACCCATACTGTGAGGGGATTGGTCCACTGAAGTAACTCCCAGCAAGGTTGAGAACCTTGAGATATTCCAGCTGGGAAACTTCAACTGGCAATGACCCAGAAAAGCTGTTGCTAAAGGCATCAAGAATAAGCAGGTTTCGAAGAACAGAAACCCCACCAGCAAAATGACCGGAAAAGTTGTTTCTGCTGATGTCCAAGCTTCTCAAATTTGTGAGGTTGAAGATTTCAACTGGCAGCTGCCCA